CAGGGGATCTGCACCCCCCCACCCCCACCCTCAGCGGGGTCATCGGCCACAGGCTGTGCCTCCACAGGGCACATGGTGGGTGGGTTGCCTCGGCTGAGGCCAAGGAAGGGGATTTCCGTCTCGAGTTCTGCTCAAGATCAGACATTACTGGCCTCATGATCATCGATCTCTCATAGTCTCCTTTCAACACGTACCAGTGTCTTCCACACGAAGTCACTCAGGAAGGGGCAGGGAGAGGACAGAAACTCACATGCTTTTCTGTTTCCCTGTGGATCTGGATGGAGACCAGTGAGGCTGATAGGATATCCAGGAAAGGAGAACAAGCAGACTTGCATTCATCCATTCAAACATTCACGGCGCACCTAGCGTGTGCCACGCATTGGAGCGGTGCTGGAATTACAACCATGAACAAAGCCCAGACACCCATGATGCTTAGTCTAGTAGGGGAAACAGATGATAAAGGAATCATGACCAAAAAATTTCAGATGTGATGAGAGTTATGGAAGGAGAAGACCTGAGCGCTATGACAATATAGATCCGAGATCTAACCCAGTCTGGGCAATCATGGAGGACTTTGCTGTGGAGGTGACCTTTATGTCAAGACCCAAAAAGGAACAAAGAGTTATACTTAACTTGAGGGTGGGGCAGATAGTGAGGTCTGGAGTGGTCTCCACACAAACCCCACTGGGTTTGACTTACCTCTTGGCTGACGCACTCGGGCCTCAGAGCAGAGATGAGGCTGTCCCCAGTCAGGACTGCTTCTAGGACCTGGGATGGGGGTCTTTGCAGGAAGAACCAGGGGCCCAGGCAGGGATGAGTAGGAAGTAGCCTCAGGAAAGAGCACAGAACTTAGGTTAAGACTTCGGGTTCTAGAGTCCAACCAACCTGAATTTGAAGTTCAGGATCACCACTCACTATTCTTACCTCACATCTCTGAGTCTGTTTCCTCATTGGTAAAACGGAGGTAAAATAGTGCCTCTTTCATAAAGTTGAGAGAATTTTCAAAGACAATACATGGGGAGAGCTTAGTGTGGTAAACACAGTAAGTACTAGATAAAAAGTGAGATTTCCTGCTTTCAATTATTAGGGCTGCAGTGAAAAAAAAAGGTACAACGTGCTGTGGGAACTGACTGCCTCCTATCATTTATCTTACAGTAACAATTATTTAAAAGAAACTCAAACTGGCAAAACGCCACATGGTGTCTCCAGGAAGAAATATTGGAGCTGAGCCTGGAAGGGTGGGTATTTGACATGCAGAGATCAAGGCAAGGTTTGCAGGCAGAGGGGGATGAAGAGAGTCCCGAAGACCAGAATGGGTGGGGCTGGGGGAAGGAGCAGGCCCAGAGCAGGGGAGGGGAGAAGGCAGGCTGCAGGGCCATGCTAAGAAGTTCTGACTTCCTCCTATAAGCCATGGCCAGGCTATTGAAGATTTTGAAGCAGCTCGATGATTTGGTGGGGTTTTTGTAGGCAGAATGGCAGTTGCCTGAGAAAGAACGAGGCCAGGCGAGGGACCGAGGAGGAGACCAATATAAGCATCTAGAGCGAGATCAGCAAATATTGTAAAAAGGGCCACCCCAGACACCCCCATCACCAGCATGCTCAGTGCTATTTCTTGGCCCCATGCCTTGACACATGCTAGCCCCGCTGCCTGGAATTCCAACAAACTCACCCTCCAAAATTAACTAAGTCATTCATTCATTCAACTCATACTTACTAAGCACCTACTCTGTGTCAAACTCACAATCCTTGTTCTCATGAAATTGATGGTCCAGTGCAAGAGTCAGCAGAATTTTTCTGTAAATTTTTTCTGAGAATAAATATTTCAGGCTTTCAGGGTCAAAATGTCCCCATCTCAAATACTGGACTCTGCAAAGTTGCCCATAGACACTATGTAAGTGAATGAGCCTGGTCATGTTTCAATAAAACTTTATTTATATAAATAGGCACCGGGCCAGGTTTGGCCTGAGGGCTGATCGGCCCCAATAGAAACATAATGTGAGCCACAAACATGAACCATTACATATTTAAATTACACATGGAATTTAAAATTTTCTAGTAGGCATGTTTTAAAAAGTAAAAGGAAATGGGTGAAATTAATTTTATTATATTTTACTTAATCCAATATATCCAAAATATTACCATTTCAAACCTGCAATTAGTGTATAAAATCATTAATGAGACTTTTTTCCCTAGTATTTCTTATGCTACAGCTTTGAAATCTGGCATGCATTTTACTCTTATAGTACCTCTCAATTCAGACCACCACATTTCAACTGCTAACAGCTACGCATGGCTGCTGGCCACAATGCCTAGTGGAGGGGGGCTCCTGCCTAGAGAGGGACAAGGAGAGAGGACAGGAAAACTATCTGACATCAACTGAGGGCACGAATTAATTTTGATTCGAATCCAGCTGGGCCACTTGCTTGCTGGCTAATTTCAGAAATGGTTTTTAACCAATCTGGGTCTCTTTTAGGCCCAAAGTATCAAGTGGGTGGTTGCCTTCAACCCCTAGGCTCCTGTCAGCTCTATTATGCAGAGATTCTGGGATTCAGAGTTTGCCAGAAGCCGTCATCAATTGGACTTTCTTTGCTAAAAATCATCTTCCATAATACAGTCATCTTGTGAAGATCAGGGTGAGGCTCTCTGTGGCTACTGCCACCACTCATCCCTCCTGGGGCCTTAGAGGATGCTTGTCTGCTCTTGAGGAATTGAGGGGATATAAGGTGGGCAAGGAAGAGGAGAACCACCCTCCCCAGGCTCTTGGGGGAAGTGCCTCCCACACACACATGGACACAAATGCACAAGCACACACACGGGAACCTAGCTGTCCCCCCCCCACCCACCTCCAGAGTGACAGCTGTGATCTCCAGCCCATCAGGGAGCAGAACGTGGGAACAGAAATAGACTCCACCTGAGTCAGAGGATGAGTCACAATGTTCTGTAGAGCTTCAGAAGGGAGCAGCAGGAGGAGCTGATGGTGGGGAAGAGAGCCAGGCCCCCAGGGGAGAGGGAGGAGAATAGGCTGGTTTCCTGGGCATGGAGCCAAGGAAGAACGTCCTAGAAGGAGTGGGGTCCACTGCCGCAGGCAACTCGTGTCCTGATGGAGGGCCTGTGCTGGGGGTGGGGGGGTGGCGGGGAGGGGGTACAAAGTGGAGGGGAAATAGAAGGACATGGCTTTTGGAGGGCCAAGAAGGGAAAGATTGAGAAAGGGGTGTATAGAGACTACTCTGAGCACACAGGCCACAACACCAATACCTAGCTGCTTCGTTCCAGATCCTCTCATTACAATAGAAGCATGTCTTGAAGCCTACCCTGCTAAGTGAGCTGCCAACCTATGCTGAACTGGGGAGACTGAGGAAGAGGGTATCCTACTTGACCCAGGCTGAGCCAATAGGGTGGGGTTACAGCCGATGGCAGAGGACCTGAGAAACTCACAGGACAGAGGTCCATGTGGCATAGACTCAGTGCTGGGGACCAGCCATGCTGCCACATGGGGACTCGGACAGCTCGCCAAACCATCAGATCTAGGTGGCAGGCTGGCAGAACCATGGGGGAAGGACAGGATGAGGACACCCTCAGGAGAAGACAGGGATCAGGAGGTGAGGGGCCAGCCTAGTGTGACCTGCATCAGGGGCCTGACCACAGGCCACCGTGGAGGGGAGGGCATTGGGCACAGACATAGTGAGGCCTCCGGAGTGTCCCCACACCATGGTGCTGGGTCTGATTTACCTCCTGGGCTGACACACTCAGGCCTCAGCAAAGGGACTAGGCTGTCCCTGATCAAGACTGATTCTGGGGCCCAAGAGAGGGGACCCTGAAGGAGGAGCGCAGGGCCCCAGGCATAGATGGAGGAAGCTGAGGGGGCAGAACTGGCACCTCCAGCCCATTCCCAATCTACCCATTCTGTGCTCACTGTGTTCCCATCACCCCTTATAACCCTCATCTTAGTGTGGGGCTCCCCCAAAGCAGAGCTTGAGACAGGGACTTTGGGGCAGGTAATTGATTTGGGAGTTGATCCCATGAAGCATGAGTGAAGGAGCAGAAAGTGGGAGACAGAGAAAGGGCCCCAGCTTCCCAAAGGGGACATTGCTGAGGTCCTTCTGGTAGGCAGAGAGGCTCGAGCGCACCAGGATTCCTGAGAAGTATGCAGAAGGCCTCCTAGAACTCCCCATGTGCAAAACAGGAGGCTTTATCCACCACTTTCCATCTCCTGTGGTTGAAGGTGGCCCCCAAGAGAATTCATGCCCTGCTTCCGCTGCCCCCTGCAGTTCTGGAGAAAGAGCTGGGAGAGAAGGAGGACAGACACGGAGCGCCCCAGAGGTGGGGATGAGGCGGCACTCTGGAATTCGGGTGGATGCCTGAGGCCCCAGCCATGCCCTCCCAAGGGCCCACTGCACCTCAAATAAAATGCAAACGCCCTGGCACGGGAAGGTCTGGCCCCTGCCCACTTTTCCAGCTTCCTATCTCCTCACTCATGGTGCCATAGCTGTCTATACTCCTCAACAGCCCTCTTGGTCTCCTCTTCATTCCCAGAAACCACCACACCTAAAGACTTCGCCCTTGTTCTTCCCTCCACGTGAAACTTCATGTGCTCGGTTACACGGTCAACACCTTCAGGTCCTTCGGGTCTCACCAAAAACACCCCCTCCGTAGAGACAGCCCCTGCCCTGACCTTCCTGCCTGAGGTCCGTTCTTCTGTTAGGCTCTCGTGGATCTCCAGTGGGTGCTGGAAATGTTTAACAACCAGCTCTCCATGAAAAACAAAAGCCTTGATTTGTTGTGTTTGCCAGTTTGGGAGCTTTTAGTAAAGGCTCCCGTCAGAGTCGATGTCAAGCTGCGGGTGTCAGGAAGGGAGACACGGTGACGTACAGTACAGAGTATTTCCACTGTATGGATACAACAGGAGTAAATCGTTTAAAGAGCATAGATAGGAGTAAAATAATTAAGAAGTTACGCAGTTTATTTTTTTTTATTTTTAACATAATTTATTTCCTTGTAAATTTGCCCAAGTTAATTTTTCATAATGCCTGCATTTAACCCCCAGCTCACGAAACTCCTGAGTTTTTAACAGTTGTCTCTCGTGAGCTGAGAGAAGTCAGCTCCAAAACCACCGGATGTCACCCCATTCTTTCCCTCTGTGCACATTTTAGGGTGTGTGATTATTTTTTTCTCCTTGCTTTCTTCTATGTATGCTGGCCCTCTAACATGTGGGTCCTGTGAGGGTAGAAGTTATGACTGATTTACTTCCAGATGTGTCCTCAGAGCCCAGCACAACACCTAGCCTACGAGAGAAATTCAGGAAATATTTGTCAAATGAAAGTATTAAGTGCATGAATGAATAGGCAGATGTAGTCGATGATGGCATAAGGTTGGGATCTCTGCTATGGACAGAAGAGGGACCACTCACCTCAAGAGACGCGCAGTAAATCCCACAGGGCTTGCTCCTGACAGGGTGTGGGGAGCAGGCAAGACAGCCAGGCTGCAAGGAAAGAGAGATGAATCTGAGATCACTGCTGAAGGCTCTGGGCGTCTTCCAGGGATGGCCTCCACTGGGCCTTCACCCCCTCTCCACAGCTCACCTGGCCCACAAGGGAGCGCAGTTCTCAGACACCTTGGGAGCTACCAGAGTTCTCCCTCACAACCCTCCCTGTGGGACTTTGCACAGGAGAACTGAACAGGTCTGGTCTGCTCTGGTGTATCTGGGATCCCAGCCATTCATGACCCCTGTGTTAGCTGTACCCTCCACAGAGGGTGGGCCAGGACCCCAGGAGGGACAGCAGAGTCAGCTCGCCTGTGCCCATTGGCTCTCCGCCGTGTGGCCCACCTTCTGCCAGTCCCCCCAGGCTGGGACTGCTGCCCCAACACACAGAAGATGCCTGGCTTCACCCATCTGCCTGCAGTTCCTGGCACGACACCACGCACTAGGGAGACGGCAGAGGATACTTGCAGCATGAATGAGCCAATGAGTAAGGTGGCTTCCCAGCAGAGCAAATGTGAATCAGAGGCATTTTCCACTCGGGCCAGTCGCCTGCCTGGTACTGGGAAAGAGCACAGAGATGCCAGGCCCGCTCTACCCATAACTGCAACCCAGGGAAGAGGCTAAGAACCCAGCCCTAGAGTCAGCCAGCCTGGTGTCACATCCCAGCCCTTCCACTCCCTAGCTGGGGCCTTTATTTCCTCATCTGTAGAATGGGGATGCAATATGATAGGCTGCCAGGAGGATTTGATGAAATGCTACCAGTAAGGGTCTTGTAAATTTCCTGGAACAGTGAAAGAACTCTTTGTGCAGGAAACTGTCCTAAGCACCTTGTAAATATCAATGCATTTAATATTATCCTTGCCTGTTATACTGCCTCTGACTGTTTTTTCTTTTTGTTTGATTAGTTGGTTTGGTTTGGGTTGGGCTGGGTTTTTGCTGTTAGTGTTATGGCTACCGAGTAAGTTTCTTCCTCTCCCTGAGCCTCAATGTTCTTACCTGCAAAATGGAGCAGTGGATGAAATGGCCTCTGAATCCAGTGTTTCCACAGCAGTCTAGCTCTGATTTCCCACCTCTTAGTCCACAGCAGTCGCTCAGACCTTTCTAAGTCCCCGTGTGCAGAGTGGACTCCCACTGCAGGGACCTGAGCCAGGAGCCCGGCCTCTGTTGTCAGGAGAATACGGGCGTGGTGGTCACCTTGCTTAATGGCAGGGGCTGGGGACCCACACAGCTATTCCCATCCCCACCTCGGTGCGTGCTGCCAACTCAGCTCTCACCTTCCCATCCGAGAGAGTCCTAGGAGATCAGAGATGAAAACCCAACGCTGCCAATTCCATTCATTCTTAAGCCAATAAGCATTTATTGAGTACCAACTGTGTGCCAAGGGCTATGCAATGCTTTGGGTACAAGGCAGGGAACAAGACAGGAAGACTGCTGCCTTCATTGCTGGGGTGAGTCTACTGCAGGAAACAGAAAATAAACAAGTCAACAAATAAGAAACAAGTGGATTTCAGAAAGAAGAATCAGGGGCTATAATGATATAAAGAGTATAAGTCAGGTTAATAAGATAGAGAGTGCCTGGGAGGGTGGTCAAGGTGGGCCTTCCGGTGGAGGTGACTTAGGAGCCAACCAGAGGATGAGCTGGAGAATGGCTGGAGGCATGACCTGTTAAAGGAACAGGTCTGGGTGGCTAGAGTTCAGGAAGCATGGTGGCACCAGGCCACAGAGGTCAGCCGGGGTGGGGGGCGGGGGGGGTAGGGACAGGCCAGAGCAGCAAGTCAGCCTGAGTGGCTTGGATTTTCTTCAAGGTATATTTGCCAGCACATAGGACCTGCTACATAATTTGTAGGGCCAAGTACAAAAGGGAAATGAAAGGCCCTTTTTTCAAAAAGTATTAAGAGTTTCAAGATGGCAACAAGAGAGCATTAAACCATGCACGGGGCACTTCTAAGCATAGGGCCCTGCCCGTGGAGCCAGCCCGGTCAGAAAAAAACTCTGTTGGCATTAGCAAAGCCTTCTTTAATTTGACAAATATGCATTGAGGGCTTAAAATAAGCCAGGCCCTGTGCCAGGCTCTGGGAATAACAAAAAAGTGAATGATGAAACCAAGAAAGCTACTCTGACCTTAATTTTTCCAATTAGATTTTCTCCACCACACATACCAGGCCAGAGGACTGACCCATCTGCACATATTTGATGGTGGTCCGCCCCACAGATAGAGGTTCAGGCCGTCCGCTGGATGGATTTGACTTGATTCCTTTGTAATAATGGGAATGGTTATCGCGCGTCAACCATATGCCCAGCACAGGCAGAAATCTCCACCTCCACCACCCATCAACAAGAACCAAGCAAGGGAGACGAAAACTCAAGCTTAAAGAAAAGGATGAGCTTTTCCAAATTCACATGTTACTATGTGTGGGTATGTTGTGGGGGGAGAGGGGCTAGGACTTGGACCCAGTTCTCGTGAAATCCAGAAGCTCCACCTCTAAGTGTACAATCCTTACTCCTATGTACTGTGTGATTGTTCAAAGTAAAGACTGAGGTGCAAACTTCAGGAACCTTGACAGGAATTAATGTCTACTGAGGGCATACCATATGCCAAGCCCTACACCAAGCTCTCCACACAGATCTTTTCATTTTCTCCTATAAATAACCCGTGTAGAGAGTGTAATTTCTCCACTGCTCGTGGTGGCGAGACCGAGATTCAGAAAAGTTAAGTAACTTGTCCAGGGCCTCCCAGACAGTGTGCAATAGAGCTGGGGGCCAAGTCCAGCTGCGTGCCCCAGGGCTGGGTCCCCGCCACTGTCCTGCTCCTCTCCGTTTCTGCCAGGGCCCTGCACAGATCTTGCTGCTGTGGAACCCCCAGCCAGTGGGTCATTTTCTTGCTGCCAAGGTCAGAGTTCAGAAGTCCAAGGAGCCGGGCCCAGAGAGAAGGTCTGGGGGTTTGACCTGGTGTCAACATCAGGGCTGAAGATTGCTTCATGCCCGGCCCAAGAGGAACAGGAAAGTCTGACTTCTCCCCTTTACCATGGGAAAGAGCTCCTTTTCTAAAAAAAGCCAGGCCAGAACCATGAGTGTGACATGTCAGGCCCTTTCTGCTGCAGCTTTACTCTCTGTCTTGGCCTTTCGGCCAGGGGACAGGGCTATCTTGAAAGAGGAAGACTTGCGCACTCTTGGTTTCCTGGCCAAGGATCAGAGAGACTTCCCTAAAGAAAGCTCCTGGCAGAAAGGTTCTGGGGCCAGGCATGGCCTGGGAAGATTCTGTCCCTGCTCTGCAAAACAACCTCAGCTGGGACCCTCGAGTAGGACTGGCAGCAGCCCTTTTGCCCAGAAGAAAGCCCTGGGGAGCGGGCAGTGGCCTCCTGAGCCCCCAAACTGCAGAAAACCAGGCAGCCTGTGGAAATAGCTGCACAGATGCAGGAGGTCCATGGCAGTCCCAGCTCTGCCCTGGGGTGGTCGGCTCCCCTGCAGAGCAGAAGCTGTGTCCGCCAGAGCCCAGGAGAAATCCCACACCGCCCCTCAATAGTTGTGGGAACCCTGCAAGTCCACTAACCACTTTGGGCCTCCTAATCCCCATTTTCCTGAATTAAATGATCGAACCTATATTAAGGAAGAGATAAAAATCATAGGGAAATATATTTCTTGGTCTCAGGGAAGGTGCAGAAGCAGAAGAGTAGCTGAGCGAAATAATGAGAGTTCACGGGCCCAGGAGTGTAATACAGCCTCCTGGATTTCTGAACCTGGGGTCTAAGTTTCAAAAAGAAAGAATCTCGTGTCCTTTGCTACCAGCAGTCCCCCATGCCCGCCTTCTTTCCATTCATTTGTCCTACATCTCTACTGTAAGTCTGTTTGAGTCCTTGGACCTGAAAGAATGTCTACCTGTTCCCGGAACTATGAAGTCCTCAAAATTCTTAGGTCCTGATCTTCTTCCTTCGAAACCTTGTAAGGGCTTCTCCAATTTTGGAAAGCAAGCAAAGGAGAAGTCTCAAGACAGCTGATTTTCATATTCTTTATAAGGAATCGGTTACTTTTTCCTTGATGTTTATAGTATAAAAATAAGTTATCGTTAGAATTGAAATATTCTGTGTCCAAAACTCTGAGGGCCTTTTTTGTTTTTTTCTTGGAATGTGAGTCTGTCCATTTTGCATACTCCACGAAGTGCTCCAAAAGTATCGTAAAAAGCTATCACTTCTTAAGCATTTAGAGCCCCATTTTAAAAATTAACTCCCGTAATTCTTCCAAAAATCTTTATCATAAAGTGATTAATGAGAGTCACAGCTAAGAGTACTGCACTTGAAGTCAGGCTTTCTGGGTTTCTCCCCAGACATGGTGCTTTCCAACTGAGTGACCTTGGACGTGTTACCCAAGCATCCTGAGCCTCAGTTTCTCATCTGTGACATGGGGGTGGCAATGGTACCTCCCTGGTGGTCACGGCTGGCACGAGTAGGTAGCACAAAACACAGTGCCTGGCACTACCAGGGACTCTACGAAGGCTGACTTAGTATGAAGCGCCCTTTCCTTTTAAGGAAATTGGGGCTTTGGAAAGCTAAGCAACTTGCCCCAAATCATACAACTGGAGATGACAGAGTGGGGATTCTAACCCAATTTTTCTAAACCTAAAGTCTACCCCTGTAACTATCAGAGTTTGATGCCTTATGCCCAACATCAGCCTGGCATGGAGTAAGCTGAGAATCAAGAGAACTTCGCCTCTTAGCCACCATCTTGCACAGGGAACAGAACAGAAGCTAAAGGGTGGCTTCACGCACCTTCCCCACCCAGGCCTTGGGATCAGCAATCCTTAGCCTGTCTGCACGAACCAGGCTTCATCTTCCAGAAGCCACACCAGATGGCAGGCTGACCCACATGGGCCTGTCTGCGTCACTGCCTTTTATCACTGTTGTCATGTTTAGATTTACTTCATTGGTGAGGAACTGGGCCTGCTCCTTCTAATACACTGAAAAATTATATGTATTATATAAAATAGAAACATTACGTATATATGAATATACTGCTGAAAAGGCACCCTCAGAATCTAGCTCAACACTGCCTCAGGCAGCAACATCAGGCAGAACAGAGTTGTGAAGCTAAATAGTCTTGCATCTCTGGCAGGGACAAGCAAGAACTCAGACACATTAGTCATTAAGGTATGCGTTCTGCTGTGCACATGGCGTCAGAAATGTTGTGGAAGCGCACAGGGAGAAATGAATAAGCGCACAGGCTGAGGATGTCAGGAAGACTTCCTGAAGGAGGCAACATGGGCACTGGATCTTGAAGGATGAATAGGAGTTGGCAAGTTAAAAAAAAAAAAAAAGAGGTCTGTGGGAACAGAGGGGTCTGAAAGGCATGGTGGGGATGGTTAAGGAATATCCCATCATTTACATTCTTACTTCCTCATTCACTCATGCATATTGATGAACCCCAGGAAGATACCAGACCCTGCGCTGGCTACTGAGAAAGTCAAGGTGAACCTAACCTCCAGGAGCTCCTGGTATGACCTCTGAACGGATCATTGCAAAACAGCTTGAGGGGTATTATATAAATATATACACATAACCAGGGTGTTTCTGGTGGCTTGGTCATGAGGAGAAGGGATGAAATCTGCATTGCAAATGGAAACAGGGGATGGATTCTGAATTCCATTTTGGGGGAATAGAATATGCAGGTTTCTGTGACTGATCACATCCCAGGGATGAGGGACAGGGAGAAATCTGGGAGAGGCGAGAATGACAGAAGGGAAATACACCTGGGAAATTAAAAGCTAGTTCAGCTTCAGAATCGGCTTTCTGAAGCTATGAGTGTAGGAAGCCTTAGACTTAGAAACTCTTTGCTGGCAAGAATTAAGATCATGGCACGCTGAAGGCCCTGTGCCCTCAGCCCCTGCACCTAACACCATCCTAGGTGGACACTGGGTGCTCAGTGGGCGCCTGATGATGTGGTGCGTCCTGCCCCATCCTCCCCTGCAGAGCCGTCTGGATCTAACCCGCCCTCATCCACACCCGACCTGAGCACCAGTACCAGAAGCTTCCGCACATCACAGAATGACACAAAACTGTTCCTCTTTTCAAAAACCGAAATGCTCCCAAGATTGAACGTGTGGATGCTTGTGCGGCTCAATCTCAGCAAACATCTGCTACCTTTGTGTGGTGAGCGCAGTCTCTTTCGAACAGTGCCTTTGATTTCAGGGAAAGACAAATCAGGCTGCACGTTTTTGTTCTGAATGCGTCTCATCACGGGAGGAAATGTTCGGCAGCTTGGAATTCTGAATGTATGAAAAATGGATCTTCTTTTCAAACAAAGAGTTCACGATCAAGAATCAACACAGTTCCTGAAAGAGATGAAACCAGTTCTCTATTCCTGTCCCTGTCCCCCTTGCCTGCCTCATCTTTTTCTGGATTCTCCGAAGTCTCTCTCTGGAGCCGAGTCTCATCCTCACTGCCATTGTCAGATCGGAACTGACAGCAGCTCTGGCCTCAGAGGGTAGGGTCAGGGTG